GGATGGGCGCTGGGGTCACGGGGCCAGCACCGCTCGGGGGCTGCGGTTTTGGGGTTCCAGCTGTGGTTTCACCCAGCTCTGGGAGGGCTTTGGGGTCCTTGGGGCGGGGAGCCAAGGTGCCAACCTCGATCTGCAAACGCAGCTGGGTGTGAGGGTGGGTGACGTGTCCCCTCCAGGGTGGTGGCACCGGTCAGGGTCACAGGTTGGGATCATGAATTCCTTCTTGGGAAGCTCCCCAGGCTCTCCAAGGAACCCCCCTGGCCCAGAGGGATGAAGGAATCCTCACATCCAGGAGCTGGCAGAGCTTTGGCTCGGGTAAAACCTTGCCCAGCGCCGGGAGAGCTGCCAGGGCTGCTGCTGCCAGGAGTTGCCGTGCCACATCCGTCCCTGTCACCAAATCCCTGTCCCGGGGGCTCTCCTGTGTCCTCCTCACCTTCGGGACAAGGTCCCCATAGTCGTAGAGCTCCTCATAGTTGCTCAGGTCCAGGATGTCCCCGTAGTTATCCAAGGTCACCTCGTAGTTGCCCAAATCCAGGTTTTCATAGAGGGTCAGCTCAGCCTTGGGCTTCTCCACCTTCGTCCTCTTCTCGGCTGGGACAGCCCAAAGTGTCCCCAAGCATAGGCTGGCCACGCCCAGCCAGCCCAGGGGACACATCCTGCCCTGGCCGGGGTCAGCGCGCCCAGGGATGGGACCTGGATGGGTCACCAAGGGCTGGATGGGTCACCAAGGGACCTGGATGGCCACCAAGGGACCTGGAATGGTCACCAAGGGCTGGATGGGTCACCAAGGGACCTGGAATGGTCACCAAGGGTTGGGTGGGTCACCAAGGGACCTGGAATGGCCACCAAAGGCTGGATCGATCACCAAGGGCTGGATGGGTCACCAAGGGCTGGATGGGTCACCAAGGGACCTGGATGGCCACCAAGGGACCTGGAATGGTCACCAAGGGCTGGATGGGTCACCAAGGGACCTGGAATGGTCACCAAGGGTTGGGTGGGTCACCAAGGGTTGGATGGTCACCAAGGGACCTAAAATGGCCACCAAGCGACCTGCAATGGTCACCAAGGGCTGGATCGATCACCAAGGGTTGGATGGGTCACCAAGCGACCTGCAATGGTCACCAAGGGCTGGATCAATCACCAAGGGCTGGATGGGTCACCAAGGGACCTGAAATGGCCACCAAGGGACCTAGAATGGTCACCAAGGGACCTGAAATGGCCACCAAGGGTTGGATGGGTCACCAAGGGACCTGGAATGGTCACCAAGGGCTGGATCGATCACCAAGGGCTGGATGGGTCACCAAGGGACCTGAAATGGCCACCAAGGGACCTGGAATGGTCACCAAGGGACCTGGAATGGCCACCAAGGGCTGGATCGATCACCAAGGGCTGGATGGGTCACCAAGGGACCTGGAATGGCCACCAAGACCTGGATGCAGGGACGGGATGTGGCTGAGCCAGCCCCAGGGTGAGGTGGACAGACAGCTCCCAAATCCTGGGGTGGAAGGGACAGAAAACCCCAAACCCCAGGGAGGGGACAGACAACCCCAAACCCCTGGCAAGGACAGGCAGACCCCAGCCCCGGGAGGGGACAGACAGCCCCTAGCTCCAGGAGGGGACAGGCAGCCCCCGGCCCTGGGGACATTCCGTGACCCTTTTCAGCACGTTTCATGCTCGGCTGTGCAGGAGAGGCCCCGCGGGGCTGCCGGGGCTGCCTGGATTTCCCAACCTGGGGGGTGCAGAGGGGTCAGGAGGGGATGGGGGGTAGGGAGGGGAAAGGGGGTAGGGAGAAGATGGGGGGTTGGGAAAGGATGAGGGGTTGGGAGGTGATGGGGGACTCGGGAGGTGATGGGGACTCGGGAGGTGATGGGGGGCTCGGGAGGTGATGGGGGACTCAGGAGGTGATGGGGGACTCGGGAGGTGATGGGGGGCTCGGGAGGTGATGGGGGACTCAGGAGGTGATGAGGGGCTTGGGAGGTGATGAGGGGTTCCTGGAGCTTGTGGGGATGGGTGGAACCGGCCACTGGCCCAACAAACCCAGCGTCCAGGGAGAACCAGCCGCAGGGGCCCTGGAACTGCTGCTCCCCCTTCTGCTCCCACATCCAGGTCTAAATCCCGGTCCAAATCTGCTTTTCCAACACCCTGGCGGGCCAAAGGCCACAGGATCCGTGTGACAGCGCAGGGACACCCTCCCCTAATCCTCACAGCTCCTCATCCAAACTCTCCAGGCCCCATTCCCACAGAATTCCCTCCCGTGGGACACCCACGGCAGAGCAGGGGGAGGGTCCCGGCCCCCTCCAGCCTCTCCCAAATCCCAAATCCCAAATCCCAAATCTCAAATCCACCACCCAGCCCAGAGTTTTTTTCACTCCGTCCTGAGGATGCTGCTCCCAAATTCCTGCTGTTTTCCCCCAAATCCACCCTTTCCCAGTGCGCTGAGCCCCCTGCACCCCCCAACCCCTCCAAACCCTCCCATGCCCCAGCTGCCCCAGCCTGGGGGGGCTCTGGGGGAGCCAAACCAAACCGGGACAGACGTACCCCTGTCCTTCCTCCTCCTCCTCCTCCTCCTCCTCTTCCTCCTCCCGTGGGCTGCAGGGGCTGGGGAAGGGCTGCCGGGCTTTTAAGGCACGGAGAGGAGGAGGAGGAGGGGGATGAGGAGGAGGAGGAAGGGGACGAGGAGGAGGAGGAGGAGGAGAGGGGGGGGTCCCAGTGAGCAGCTCGGGGTTTAGGGGGGCTGCGGAGACCCCCCCCCGGCAGCCGATGGATGGGGACATTGAGCTCAGCCAGCCCAGATCCCCTCCCGGGGGGCGCAGCACCCCAAAACCTTCACACACTGAGAGGTTTTGGGGTTTGGGGGGAGGGGGAGCCGGTGTGGGTGCAGGGGGAGCTCAGCACCCCAAAACCTTCACACACTGAGAGGTTTTGGGGTTTGGGGGGAGGGGGAACCAGTGTGGGTTCGGGGGGGGGGCTCAGCACCCCAAAACTTCACTCTCTGGGGTGGTTTTGGGATTTTGGGGACAAGGAGCCAGTGTGAGTTCGGGGGGGGGGGCTCAGCACTGCTCCCCTCATTGGGGCAAGGTGGGAACCCCCTACCCCCACGCCCCCTCTGTGTCCCTGGGGACAGAGGGACCACGACCCTCCTGGGGGAGGTCCCCGCGGGGCTGGCACACCCCAGGAGGGGCAGGGCGAGCACGGCAGCCCCTCCTGGGCATCCTCGTGCCCACCCACGGCCGCGAAAATGTTCCTGTCGCCAGCCGCGCATCGCCCCCCACGCACCCACCCACCCTCCCGGAGCACCCATCTGCTCTGGGGGGGGCGGCCGGGGACACCCCCGCAGCCCCCCAGCCCCCCGTGGGTACCCGCAGCCCCCAGCCCCAGCCGTGTGCCCCCCTCGCTCAGCACGCAGCGCCGCTAATCTTCATTAAGGCGCTCATTAAGCGGCTGGGTGGGCACCGTGACGGAGCCGATGTGGCAGCTGGGGGGGCACAGCGAGGCCGGGGGGCGCTGCTGGAAGGAGACAGGCGGGGCTGGGCCGGGGTCCCCTGGGCAGTGGGGTCCCCGGGGGTGCAGGGTCCCAAAAGGTGAAGGGGTCCCCAAGGATTAAGGGTCTCAAAGAACTGTTGGGACCCCAGGGTGAAGGGTCCCAAACATTGAAGGGGTCCCCAAGGATGAAAGGTTCCAAAGGGCAATGGGGTCCCTGGGGGTGAAGGGTCTCAAAAGACAGTGGGGTCCCCCTGGCAGTGGGGTCCCCCAGGGGTGAAGGGTCCCCCGAGGGTGAAAGGTTCCCAGAGCAATGGGGTCTTTGGGGGTGAAGGGTCCCAGAGGGGTGAAAGGCTTCCAGGGGTGAAGGGTCCCTGAAAAGTGAAGGGTCCCCCAAAGGTGAAAGGTCCCCAGGGCAGTGGGGTCCCAGAGGGATGAAGGGTCCCCCAAGGATGAAGGGTCCCCAGGGCAGTGAAGGGTTCCCGGGGATGAAGGGTCCCCAGGGCAATGGGGTCTTTGGGGTCTTTGCTTTTCTGTCCTGGCCCCGGGAATGATGCCCTGTCCTTGTCCCCACCAGCAGCAGCCTCCCCTTGTGCCCCCTCAGCGTTCCCCGCACGGACGGTGTCACCTGGAATGTCCCTGCGCCCCTGGCGCCATCCCAAATGTCCCTGAGTGCCCAGCATGCCCCATCCCTCCAGCCAAAAACCCCAAGCCCACCAAACCCCGAAAACTTTGGGAGAGTCATCCCCAGGAAAGGAAATTTTGCTGCTGGAGGAAGGCGAGGATGGGTCAGGGAGAGGCTCGGGGTCCCTTGTGAATGATTTTATTTCCACTGCTGCAGGGAGTGGGAGTGAAAATCCCATAAAGTTGCCGGGTCGGGAGGTCCACGCGGCTTTAGGAACATCTGTACATTCTACCAGTCTATATACACATCAGATATAAATATATATAAATCCAGGGGGGTCCGTCCGGGTTTAGGGCTGAAACCTGTCCCAGCCAACTGCAGGGAGAGCTGGAAAGGGGATTTGATCATCAGGGACAACCTCTCATTAATTAGCATTAGGTTTTAATTAATTAATTAATTAAAACTTATTAATGTAAATTTTAAATTATTAATTAAATAATGAATGAATTAAAAATTAGGTTTTAATTGATGGAGAAAAGGGAGCATCCCTGTGCCGGCCGCAGGGGTTTGGACACGGTGCCCGTCCGTGGCAGTTCTGCTGGCTGGACACAAAGGAGCTTTCTTTGGTTTATTTAAAGCACGTTGCCGTTGGATTTTGATTTTTTTTTTCTTTTTTTTTTCCTCTCTAATGCTCGGCCTTTAAATCCAAATCCTGAGACTCGGGAAGAAAAGAAGAGAATAATCCCCCCTAAACCCGGACACCCTATAAATGCAGGTACAGCTACGGGAGGGGGAAGCGATACATGTGAGGATGGGGAAGAGCAGGGATAAAAATAGCCCTTCCAAAGGATGATTCTTCCCTTTTCTTCTCCCTTCCTTTTATTTCTAATTAAAAAAAAAAAAAAAAAAAAAAAAAAAGGCAGAACCCAGCCTTGTGTGATTGGCTCCAGAGAGAAACTGAGCCTCAGATCTCAGAGGAAAGGGTACAGGATTTTGGGATGGGGCTGTGGCCCCATGGATGTGGATGCAGGAATTTGGGATGTGGCCATAGCCCCATGGATGTTGCCCTGAATCCCAGGTTTTAGAGGGAAAGGTGCAGGAATTTGGGATGGGGCTGTAACTCCATGGATGTGGATGCAGGAATTTGGGATGGGGTTGTGACCCCATGGATGTGGATGCAGGAATTTGGGATGGGGCTACGGCCCCATGGATGTGGATGCAGGAATTTGGGATGGGGCAGTGACCCCATGGATCAGTGCTGGGCTGGGGGATTTGAAGCCGGGCAGGATCTGCTCTTGCCCAGGGGGTGTGGGAAGTTGTGACCCCCCCAGGGGCAGGACACCCCCCCTGCTCCATCCCGGCAGATCCACAGCTCCAGGAGGGATTCGGATCCTCCTCCCGCAGAGAAATGTGGAGCCAAAGCTCTCCAGAAGGGTGACAGGAGTGTCCCCACCCTCTGGCATGGCCTGATTGTCCATCCTCCCTCTTCTTCCACCGCTCTCAATCCATCCCATCCCATCCCCGCCCCAAAATCCAGCGGGAACGGCTCCCTGCGGGCTGGGCCGGGGGGACAAGGACAGGGAGCTGTGACCGGGGGTGGCAGCGGGGACACAGAGCTGTCCCCAAGGAGCCACCAGCGTCCCTGCAGGGCAGGAAAAGGAGCGAGGAGGAGGAGGATGGAGGCGGGGAGTGAGCAGGGGGAGAGGGTCCCACGGAGGGCTCCGGGGGTGATACGCCCGAGCGAACCGGGGCTGGGAGAGGGTGGCAGGGCTAAAAGACCACGGACTGCAGCAGGCGGAAACACAGCATCAGGTCCAGCGGGATGGGCGGCTTCAGCAGGTTCCCGTCCAGCCGCAGGTAGCGGAGCCGCGGGACGCTGTCCAGGTCGGAGGGCGAGAAGTCCTGGATGGACACCAGCGAGGTGGGGCAGATCTGCGTGCCGTTGATTTCTGCGGGCGCGGGAGGAACGGCGGGATGAGGGTCAGGGAAAAGGGAATGGGGAACAGCAGGATGCGGGTCAGGGAAAAGGGAATGGGGAGGGGAGGAGGAGTGGGATGTGGGTTAGGGAAAAGGGAATGGGGAACAGCAGGATGCAGGTCAGGGAAAAGGGAATGGGGAGGGGAGGAGGAGTGGGATGTGGGTTAGGGAAAGGGGAATGGGAAGGGGAGGAACAGCGGGATGTGGGTTAGGGAAAGGGGAATTTGAAGAGGAGGAAGAGCAGTATGTGGGTTAGGGAAAACGGAATGGGAAGGGGAGGAAGAGTGGGATGTGGGTTAGGGAAAACGGAATTTGGAGAGGAGGAAGAGCGGGATGAGGGTCAGGGAAATGGGAATTTGAAGAGGAGGAAGAGCGGGATGAGGGTCAGGGAAATGGGAATTTGAAGAGGAGGAAGAGCGGGATGTGGGTCAGGGAAAGGAAATGTGGAAAGGAGGAAGAGCGGGATGCGGGTTAAGGAAAAGGGAATGAGGAACAGCGGGATGCAGGCCAGGGAAAAGGGAATGGGGAGGGGAGGAAGAGCAGGATGTGGGTTAGGGAAAAGGGAATGTGGAAAGGACGAAGAGCGGGATGCAGGTTAGGGAAAAAGTAATGTGGAAAGGAGGAGGAGCGGGATGCGGGTCAGGGAAAAAGGAATGAGGGCAAGAGGAAGAGTGGGATGTGGGTTAGGGAAAATGAAATGTGGAAAGGAGGAAGAGCGGGATGCGGGTTAGGAAAAGGGGAATGTAGAGGGGAGGAAGAGCGGAATTCAGGTTAGGGAAAGGGGAATGTGGAGACGAGGAACAGCGGGATTCAAGTTAAGGAAAGGGGAAGGTGGACAGGAGGAAGAGCAGGATATGAGTTAGGGAAAAGGGAATTGAGGGCAGGAGGAACAGGAATGTGGAGAGAAGGAAGAGTGGGATGCAGGTTAGGGAAAGGGGGAATGTGGAGAGGAGGAAGAGCGGGATGTGGGTTAGGGAAAAGGGAACATGGACAGGGATTTTTTAATCCCCCCCTGTTATTGAACCCCAAATTGGGGTTGTTTTGCCACCAAAAGGGACAATCCCAGGCTGTTCAAAGAAAGAAATTCTGGCTTTTGATCAGGAGCGAAGTAGGTCACGTTCCTGCAGAGCGCAGTGAGGGATGCGGTGACATTCCAGAGACAAAAGGGATCATCCCGCTCCCAGAACCTGCCGAACCGGCCCCAACCTTCCCAAAAAATCATCAAGGAATCCTGCTCCAGCCCTTCCACGTGTCCCTGCCCAGCCAGGGCATGCGTTATGGAAAATAAACCCCGGGATTCTGATGTCAGCACGCAGCTCCAGGGATGGGAACCTTCTAAAAACCGGGGAAACAGGTGAGGAAAAGTTGGGTCAGGGCATGCACTGGATTTCTCTCCATGGAAAACCCAGCAGCGCTTGGATTCTGGGGGTGTGGGAAGCCAGCAGGGGTCACCACCTGCACCCCAAGGTCCCTCCCGGCTCAAATTTGGTGGTGTTTGATTAAAATTCAGATTAAGGAGCGTTGGAGCCTGATGCGATCACAGCAGCGTCCTGGAGCTCCAACAGAGGAAACAACTGGGGAGACCAGGAATCCTGGAATGGTTAGGGTTGGAAGGGACCATAAAGATCACCCAGGGACACATTCCACTGTCCCAGATTGCACCAAGCCCCGTCCAGCCTGGTCTTGGACACTTCCAAGGATGGGGAAGCCACAACTTCTCCAGGAATTCCATCCCAGCCCCTCACCTTTCTCCCAGAGAAGAATTCCTTCCCAATATCCCACTCGTCCCTGCCCTCTGGAGGTGGGAAGCCATTCCCTGTGTCCCGTTCCTCCATCCCTCATCCCAAATCTCTCTCCAGCTCTCCCGGAGCTCCTTTGGGCGCTGAAAAGCTGAATGGGAATGCAGTGGGATTCTGTCTCCTCCTCTGTGCTCGCCCTGTTTCCACACATCCCAGGCTCCTCTGCCATGGAACTGCAGCTGGATTTCCCTGGAATGGTGTGAGGCAGCCCTGGCTGCTCTGCCTCCATGGCAGCCTGGTTCTCCCCGTTCCTTCCTCACTCTGGGATCTTTCCTCACCATCCCCAGCCGTTTGTTTTGCAATATTTTGTCCCTAAAATATGCGCCCAGGCTCTCCTGGTTGAATATCCCAAGTTTTGCCAAGGAAAGAGCCCTTCCAAGGGCAGGTGGCCCCAAAGAAGGCAGCTGGGAAAAGTCCTGCAGCACCAGGGGAGGTTTCACTCTGCTCCTTCCCTTCCACCCTTGCAGCTCCTCCCTCATCCCACCACCGCTTCCCCCTCGGAAGGGATCACATCCCACCGGGTGAGAAACGACCTTTCCAAGGTTTTTCTCCCCAAAAAACCTCCCGGCATCCCCCAACCAAACCGAGTGGGACTCACTCTCGATGGAGTTGTTGTTCAGATAGAGGTGCTCCAGCTTGGGGCTGATGAAGGGCACATTGGTGAGCTTGTTGTGGGCCAGGTGCAGCACCAGCAGGTTGGTGAGGTTGAAGGAATTTTTGGGCAGCCCCTTATCCGAGATCTGGTTGTAGTTGAGCCGGATGAAAGCCAGGTTGGGAAACTCCTTGAAATAATCGCTGGGGATGTCCTCGATGTTGTTCCTGTCCAGGAAGAGCTGGTGGATGGCGCTGGGCACGCCGGGAGGCATCTTCCTCAGGATGTTGTGGGCCAGGTTGAGCTGCATCAGGTTCTTGAGCCCCTTGAAGGTGTTCTTGTTGAAGACGCCGTCGCTCAGCTTGTTGTGGTGCAGGTCCAGCAGCACCAGGTTCTCCAGCTTGTTGAAGACGCCGGCGGGGATCTTGGAGATCTGATTCCTGCTGAGCCGCAGCTGCTCCAGGTTGGGCGGCAGGAAAGCGGGCACCTCCTTCAGCTGGTTCCTCTCCATGTAGAGGAAGATGAGGTTCTCCAGCTTCTCCAGCACCTTCCTGTCCACCTTGCGGATGCGGTTGTTGTCCAGGTTGACCCACTTGAGGCCGGTGGCGTTGCGGAAGGACTCCTCGGGCAGGTCGGCGATGAAGTTGTTCTGCAGGTACAGGTAGTGGATGCGCGGCGGGATCACCGGCACCGTGCGCAGGTTGCGGCTGTCGCAGTACAGCGCCGACGGGAAGTCCGGCGGGCAGTAACACTCCCGCGGGCAGTCGGGGAAGACGGACGGAGGGCCCGGAGGGAGGGGAGGGGGCAGCTCCGTGGGTTCCACCGGCTCCTCGAAGGGCGCGGGCGGCCGCGTGGGTCTGCGCGGAGGTTTCCGCCGCTGCCCGCCGGCCGTCGGCACCAGCGCGAGCGCCACGGGGAGAAGGAACGCCAGGGCCGCCTTCATGGTCCGGGTGTTTTCCTGCAGGGACACGAGGAGAGGGGTTGGGAAGGGGTCGGTTGAGGAATTGTCACCTCCCCGCCGCTGGCACGCAGGGGTTTGTCCCTCATCTCTGCCGCCTGCCTTCCTCTCCCCTTCCCGTTGGAAGTCATCTTCCAATCCAGCCCCTCCCCAGAGCAGGAGTCGATGAGGTCCTTATCACTGTTTTCCATGGAATTCCTCACTGTTATCCATGGAATTCCTCACTGTTATCCATTGAATTCCTCCCTGTTATCCATAGAATTCCTCTCCCTGGCTCACTGCTATCCATGGATTTCCTCTCCCTGGCTCACCATTATCCATGGAATTCCTCTCCCTGGCTCCCTGCTATCCATGGAATTCACTTCCAGCTCTCCCATCCAGCACAGCAGAGTGGGATTCGCTGCCCATCCTCCCTTTCCAGCTCATTGCCAGCTCTCCTCATGCCTGGAACCCCCAATTTCCATCATCCCCGGAGGGAAAAAAGCCTCCTCCCAACCCAGGAACCGGCCACACCAACCCCCTGCTGCTTCCAGCAGGATCTGCATCCCACCCTGGATGAGCCACCCTCACCCAGGGCCAGCCCAAACTCCCTTTGGAGCAATCCCACGCTTTCCTGGAGCTCCAAGGAGTTGACTTTCTCCAGGAAAAGATCCTGTTTTCGCCCCTCCTGCAGGCCCAGCCTGTTCCTCCCGGCTCCCATCTGGCTCTGGTTAACCCCGCACGCCTCCCGAGCCGGCTGCTTTCCATCAGGGCTCTGGCATCTCGCTGGGGGAAGGGAGGAGCAGGGAAGGAGCCAGCAGAGCCCAGAGCTGCCGGATCCTGAGCCCAGCAGAGCTGCAGCAGGTCCTGGTTGGGGATGGATGTGATCCTGCCTCTGCATTCCAGCTTCAGCGTCCGGAAAATGGGAAAATCCGCAACAAGGATCTGCTGTTTGTGCTGTGCCCTTCCCACTCCGTCAGCATCCTGCTCTTTTCCCAGGCACAGCACATGGATCTGGGTCTGTGTTGTCCCAGAGCTTTCCATGGGGTCCCCGAGCTTTCCATGGGGGATTTTCCTCCGCTCCAGATCTTGGATTTTAACCCCCACAAATGCCCGAGGGAGCGGCAGGGGCTGAGGTCTGAGCTTGGCCCGATGCAGAGGGGAGGGAGCAGCTGGGAGGTGATTTTCCAGCTGGGAGGTGATTTTCCAGCTGGGAGGTGATCTTCCATCCAGGACACAATATTCCAGCCAGGACACACAGGGATCCAGGTGTTGGATCCACTGAGGCCACCCAGCAATGTCCCATCAAGGTGGGGGACAGGCAGTGCTGTCACCCCGTGCCCTCCACACGAGGATTTGACATCCCAGATGTTTGGGGGCTCACAGAGAGGGAACAGCCACAGCTGGAGGGTGACAACATCCTGTGGAATTCTGTCAGCAGCGGCAGGAGGCTGACACCACCCTTTTTATCCACCCCACATCCCCACGGGGACTGTCCCAGCCCTGTGACACTGCCACCACCCTTCCCCCAGAAAGCAGGACCCACTTCCAAGCAAACTGCAGCAAAGCAGCGACATTCCCAAAAAAAACAGGGCTGCAACAAGCCTGAGGCCACCACAACATCACAATCGCTGGAAGGTTCCAAGCCAGCTCTCCTGGGATCTGGAAAAGCTGGAAGTCTGTTCTCCATCCAGTCGGATTTAGGAGCAGAATTCCCAAATCCCACCCCCTGATCCCACCGGAGCCTCCCCTCCCCGACGGACGGACGGGGCAGCTCCGATTCCAGCTGCCCACAAGGAATCCGCACCACTGGAACAAAGTTAAGTCATGGAGCAACGGAGGAATTCAGGAAACCGACGGGCTGGCGTGAAAAGAAGGCTCAATTCATGGATCAAACCAGTCCTGACACCTCCCCAGCCGCTGAGCTCGGCCTGGCTGCAAGGCCGAGGCACCCAACAGATCCCGGGGTTTTTCCCAGCAGGAGGCAGCTGCTTCCTCAGCCATCTCAGCTACAACGGACCAAAAAATAAATCCGGTGCAACAGCTGGAAATTCCAGCCCCGAATGCCACTGGGGTTTGCTTTGCACATAGTTTCTCTTCCCTGCATCCCAGTAACCCCCAGCTCGCAGCGGCGCTGGCTGCCAGCCCCGGGAGGAGCGCCAAGGGCAGGGAGAAGCCGCCACCCCGGGGCGAGAGGGAGCCGTGCAAAGGTCACCGCAAAGGGGGATTTGTCACGGCCCAAGTCCCCTCGTTGTCCCTCGGGTGCCTCCTGCAGCGGTGAGTGGAGAGGGAGCAGCTGAATTTGTCCAAGATCCCGCTCCCGCAGAGGGATAAAGGGAATTTTAACTCTGGGAGAGGCAGGAAAAGCCTGGATGGCTGGAGCAGGGCCCCTTTCCAGCTCGTTGTTAGCTCCTCTCACACATTCCCGCAATTCCCATCTCCCCTGGTGGGGGAAAAGCCCCTTTCCAGCCTGGGAACGGGAATGTCGGAGCAGAACAAGGAGAGCAAGATAAAAATAACCACAAGGATCGGGCAAAGCTCCTTCCTTGGCTTCCCTTGCATCCAACACCACTGTGAGAGCCTGACCCAACACGGAGCTCGTCATCCAGCGGCTCCGGAGCGCTGGGAATGGTGGAAAAGGGGGAGGGCAACCAGGATGTCACCCAGGCGTCACCGGGGTCCCTTGGGGAGCGCAGCCCTGACGCAACAACCCCGCGGTTCTCGCCCTTTCCCAGCGAGCAGCGGAGCCGGGACTGGGTCATTCCCGCTGGGATGGCGCTGTGTCCATGCAGGGATCGGTGACACCCGCCAGGGCTCAGCCTGGACACGGCGAAAATATTGGGGTTCTCCTGGAGGAAGGTCCCCACAATCCCCGGGATCGTTCCCAAAGGCTCATCCCATCCTCTGCTCCCCGGTCCCCAGAATCCTTCCCAAAGGCTGAGCCCGTCCCCTGCTCCTGGGTCCTCATAATCCACAGGATATTTCCCAAAGGCTGATCCCGTCCTCTGCTCCTGGGTCCTCATAATCCCCGGGATATTTCCCAAAGGCTGATCCCGTCCTCTGCTCCCCGGTCCCCAGAATCCTTCACAAAGACTGAGCCCGTCCCCTGCTCCTGGGTCCTCATAATTCGTGGGATATTTCCCAAAGGCTGATCCTGTCCTCTGCTCCCCAGTCCCCAGAGTCCCCGGGATCCTTCCCAAAGGCTCATCCCACCCTTTGCTCCCGGGTCCCCACAATCCCCGGGATCCTTCCCAAAAGCTCATCTCGTCCTCTGCTCCCCGGTCCCCAGAATCCTTCACAAAGGCTCATCCTGTCCTCTGCTCCCGGGTCCCCACAGTCCCCGGGATCCTTCACAAAGGCTCATCCCGTCCTCCGCTCCCTCCTCCCGCGGCAGCGCCCGTGGGAAGGCGGCCCTGGCCGGGAGCACCTTCCCGCCGCTCTCCCGGTCTCAGCAATTCCTCCCTCCCTGCGTGTCCCGACCCTTCCCAGTTCCGCTCCCGGCTCGGATCCCGCTGCCACACGCAGTGGGAATGGCTGGACAGGGACAAAAGCGGCTCCTGGCTGCCAAAGCGCCGCCGGCCCGGACCCCACACACGCCCCGCTCGCCCCCCCAAGCAGCCGCCTCGCCCCGCTCCGCTTCTCCCTCAGGCTGGGAAACGGCTCCGACGCCTCATTCCCTCCTCTCCAGCCTCTTCCAAGGGCATGGAGAACCTCCCGCGGCTGCGCTTTGATCTCCTCCCGGGCTGGAAGCGCTGATCCCTCATTCCCCGCGGAGCAGGGAGAGAATTCCCGCATTTTGGCTGTCCCAGGAAAGGGCGCTGCGCTGCCTGGGAGGCGGCTCTGGGATGCCCTGGGCGCCACACGAGGCAGGGCCGGGATCGAGTGATCCCAGAATCCCATGATCGCTGGATCCCAGAATCCCAGGATCCCAGAATCCCAGAATCCCATGATCCCAGGATCCCAGGACTGGAGGATCCCATGATCCCCTTATCTCAGGACTGGAGGGTCCAATTATCCCATGATCCCAGAATCCCAGGATCTCATGCTCTCAGAATCACAGGATCACAGGATCCCAGGATCCCATGATCCCATGATCCCATGATCCCATGATCCCAGAATCCCAGGATCCCATGATCCCATGATCCCAGAATCCCATGATCCCATGATCCCAGGATCCCATGATCCCATGATCCCAGGATCCCAGGGAAGTTTCCAAGCCCTCACAAGCCGTGCCAGTGGGATGCATTCCCATGTTTTGCTTTGGAGCTGCTTTTCCCAAAACCTCTCCAGCCGGCAGGCAAGGGCAGGTTTGGGATGAGCCTCTTCCCAGTAACAAAACCCTTTTTTCCCAGGATTTCGGCGAACATCATTTCCCGTTTTCTCCACCCGTGGGGACAAAGAGCCAGCTCCAAACGGGACCCCCGCGGGGAGGGGGCTGCACCTCCCCTCCCACCTGGAGCTGGCAGGAAAAGTGGGATTACATGCCCTGGGAATGCTCGGTGCGATCCAGGCAGGAAAAAAGGACTTTACCACCTACATTTTGGGCAGAAAAGCAGCGCGTTGGAATTGGGGAACAGCAATTCCTGGAGCTGTCGGGCTGCTCGCCCCCACCCCGCTCCAGTCCCTTCCAAAACTCCCTGTTCCCACTCCGGCACGGGGAGATGGGGGCAGCCCCCCAGAGCCCCACCAGGCAGGACAAGGTGTCCCGATGTCCCCGGAGGATCCCGGTGGCATTCCCGGCTCCGGAGGGGTCCCTCCTCCTCCTCCTCCTCCTCTCGGCCTCTCCCTTTCCTCGCTTGTTTTCCCTCCTGCTTCCCAAGGCAGGAATTGTGCTGGGCATGGCCGGGGCTCTGCAGCCCCCCCGGTTCCGACCCCCGGCGCCCCCAGTTTGGCTGCAGAGCGCAGCGTGCTGGGGTTTGGGGTGTGGGGACGCACAAAGGGCACTTCATGTCCCCCAAAAAGCGCCTGGAGTGGCCACAGCGCTGTCACACCCCCCGAGTTCCCTGTGACCCCACAGCCCCCAAATCCCCCCCTCCTCCAGCCCACGGCGAGAGAAACTCCTGGAAGCGGAGCGGAGAGAGAACAAAGACTCCAGAGCGCTGCAGGACAGAAGAACCAAGAGGAGAGGGGGGGAAAGGAGGAAGAGGAGATGTTTTTGGGGATGGAAAGGGAGGCCGGAGAGGGCAGGAGCATCGTGGCGTCCTGGCTGGGAGGCTCAGGGGGAAACACCTGCCCAGAGCTTACCTGTGTGCACCTCTCCCTCCTCCTGCCTCCTATTAATCCCCGAGACAAGTTTCTCTCTGGCTTCTCTCTCCTTCCTCCTCCTCCACCACCTCCTCCTCCTCCTCCTCCACCACCTCCTCCTCCTCCTCCTCTCCGCTCCGCCACGGGCGAGCCCGGCCGGGGCGCGGGGGTTTTGTGGCTGGGAGCGGTGGGAGCGCGGGGGGCGGAGGGCTGGGAGGGGAGGGCTGGGAGCACTGGGAGCACTGGGAGGGCTGGGAGCGAGGCACGGTGACAACAATCACGTCTTTCTCTGGCAGCCGAGCGCGGCGGGCTCGGCGCACACGCGGCTCTGGAGCTCGGCAACAATTCCTCCTCCTCCTCCTCCTCCTCCTCTTCTTCCTCCTGCTGCCGCTGCGGAGGCAGCTCCTTGTTTCAAAACACAGCTAATTAATCACGGAATAAGCCCTGCCCTCGCCGCCGGCTCCGCTTTCCCTGCGGTTCTGCTGGGTGGGTGTCCCTTGTCGCCGCCCGCAGGGACTCCCGGCTGTCCCCACATCCCGAATTCCCTCAGGGCAGACGCAACCTGGAATTTGGGGTGCAGGGTTTGCTTTGCTGCCAGCTGGGGATGAGCTTGGACTGAAATCCCGGTGGGGGTGACACAGTGGTGGCACTTGGTGAAGACAGGGTGGGTTGACACAGTGGTGGCAGCAGCTGAGTGTCCCTGCCATGGGTTTTCCTGGCTGGAAAACAGCGGTGCACAGAGGGGACACAGCCAGGAGCACCCAGGGGGGACATTTGTGCTCCAAAAGGGACATTTTTGCCCACGAGGGGCTCAGAGGAACCCGGGACCTGTTGCGTGTTCAGAGCTCTGAGGGATGCAGGTGGGCACAGGAGCCCCCCAGCCCTGGGAATTGCTGCCCCACATCCATCCCTGTCCCGGAATTCCTGGGATTTGGGATCCAGGGGGGCACAGGAGCCCCGGGAATTGCCGTCTCACATCCATCCTGATCCCGGAATTCCTGGGATTTGGGATCCAGGGGGGCACAGCAGCCCCTCAATGCCGTGAATTCCCCTCCCACATCCATCCCTATCCCGGAATTCCTGGGATGTGGGATCCCGGGAGGCACAGCAACCCCGGAATTGCCGTCCCACATCCATCCCTGTCCCGGAATTCCTGGGATGTGGGATCCAGGGGAGCACAGCAGCCCCTCAATCCTATGAATTCCCCTCCCACATCCATCCCTGTCCCGGAATTGCTGGGATTTGGGATCCAGGGGGGCACAGCAGCCCCGGGAATTGCCGTCCCACATCCATCCCTATCCCGGAATTCCTGGGATTTGGGGTCCGGGGCTCTCCTCCCTCCCTCCCCACCATCCCCCTCTCTCCATCCCCAGCAGGACCATGAAACCCGAGCCGCTCCTTCTCCTCGAAATCCCAACCCCGGCCGTGCCAGGGGCTGGCAGCCACCCAGGGGGGGCTGCTCCTGCACTTCCACACCGGCCTGGCAGCCGAAACCGGAGCTTTTCCCAAAATTCCCCCTCTCTGCACCGCCCCTTTTTTTTTTGCCTCAAATGTATTTATTGCCAACACTTTGAATTTCACCCCAAACCGGGGGATGGCTCCTTGCTGTGGGCCTGGAGCAGGATGATCCCAAACCTGAAATCCAGCAGGTCGGTGGAGTCCGGGAGGCAGGAAAAGGCATCGAGAGGAGCCACGGAGGAATTCCAGACTGTTTAAACAAAAAATCGGGATGGAGACTGGAGTTTGCCAGCTGGAAAAGCACCAGGATCAATAGGGAATGGAGATGCTGTTTGGAAGGAGATGCTGCTGGAATTTGATGCTAATTCCTTTCAAAACCAGTCCAAAAAAACCCAAATCCATGGGGACATGTTCCATGGTTTGGTTTTTTTCTTTGTTTGTTTGGTTTGGTTTGGTTTTTTGGTTTTTGTGGTTTTTGTTTGTTTTTTTGGGGGGGGGGTTTGTTTTCGTTTTCCTTTTTTTTGGGGGTGGGGGTTGTGGTTTTTTGTGGGCTTTTTTTGGGAGGGGGTTGGTTTGTTTGGGTTTTTTTGGTTTTTTTTTCCCTGCTGATTTCCAGCTTCTCAGCCGGGCATGGAAAGGGAGAAATTGAGGCACCAAAGGGGCAGTTCCTGGCACTAAAGGAAAGGTGTCACATCCCAAACCTTCTCCATGCTCTGCCCGACCTCTGGAGCCGCTCCCACCCCAGGAAAACTCCAAATTCGGGAGGCAGAGCCCCCTCCCAGCGGCTCTGGTGCTGACGGCGAGTTGAATTTTGCTTGTTGAATTTTCTCCCTGCAGGAATTCTTTCCCCGCCGCAGCCAAGTTTCGGATCCACCTTCAAAGGCGCCCTTTGACATTTTTCAAACCTCGGACGTGGCTCCGGGCACCGTTTTTTCCGTGTCTGGAGCAAAATCCAGCCCTGCTTTTGCAGGGAAAGGAGAGCTGTGTGTCCCCAACCTTGGGGACATCGCAGTTCTGGTGGCCCTGATGTGGATTTTCAGCCATCCTGGTGGTTAATCCCCTTTTCCTGGTTTGTCCCACTGGGATTTGGGTCTGGCAGAGGTGGGAGAGGGAATGTCTGGGGTGTGGGAATGTCGGGGGACAGGGCCAGGACAGCGGGAATGGCCGGGGGGACCAAGGACAGCACGAGGGACAGAGGTGGGAATGGGGAGACATGGAGGGATTTGGGTCCTGGTGGATCCCAGTGTGTCCCACCAGGAATGGGGAGGTTGGAGCACTGGTCAGTTCAGCCATGTTCTGGTCACTCTGGACATGTTCTGGACATTCCATGGTCATTCTGGACATTCTGTGGTCACTGTGACCATTCCCTGGTCACTCTGGCCATGTTCTGGTCACTCTGGTCATGTTCTGGCCATTCTGTGGTCATTCTGGATATTCCGTGGTCACTCTGGACATTCTCTGGTCATTTCAGCCATTCTCTGGTCACTTTAGTCATTCCATGGTCACTCTGGCCATGTTCTGGTCATTTCAGCCATTCCATGGTCAATCTGGACATTCCCTGGTCACTGTGACCATTCCCTGGTCATTCTGGACATTCCCTGGTCACTGTGACCATTCCCTGGTCATTCTGGACATGTTCTGGTCATTCTGGCCATGTTCTGGTCACTTTAGCCATTCCCTGGTCACTCTGGCCATTCCATGGTCACTCTGGCCATTCTTTGGTCATTTCAGCCATTCTCTGGTCACTCTGGCCGTGTTCTGGTCACTCCATGGTCACTCTGGCCATTCCATGGTCACTCTGGTCACTCCTGGGTTTCTCAGGAATTTTGGCTTTAAAAATGTTGATTTTGCCCCAGGGAGATGATTCGTGGTGTTATCCCTGTCCCAAACCGAGCCTCTGTGCCACAAACCCAGGGGATTTCTGGAGCTTTCTGAGGGCTGGATCTTCAAAATTCCTTTTGGAGAGCTAAAAAGAAAATTAATTTCAGAAAGGGAAAGGGAAAAAAACAAAAACAGAAACAAACAAAAGGGAAGGGAAGGGAAGGGAAGGGAAGGGAAGGGAAGGGAAGGGAAGGGAAGGGAAGGGAAGGGAAGGGAAGGAAGGGAAGGGAAGGGAAGGGAAGGGAAGGGAAGGGAAGGGAAGGGAAGGGAAGGGAAGGGAAGGAAGGGAAGGGAAGGGAAGGGAAGGGAAGGGAAGGGAAGGGAAGGGAAGGGAAGGGAAGGGAAGGGAAGGGAAGGGAAGGGAAGGGAAGGGAAGGGAAGGGAAGGGAAGGGAAGGGAAGGGAAGGGAAGGGAAGGAAGGGAAGGGAAGGAAGGGAAGGGAAGGGAAGGGAAGGGAAGGGAAGGGAAGGGAAGGGAAGGGAAGGGAAGGGAAGGAAGGGAAGGGAAGGGAAGGGAAGGGAAGGGAAGGGAAGGGAAGGGAAGGGAAGGGAAGGGAAGGGAAGGGAAGGGAAGGGAAGGGAAGGGAAGGGAAGGGAAGGGAAGGGAAGGGAAGGGAAGGGAAGGGAAGGGAAGGGAAGGGAAGGCTGGAAAATCGCGCTCAGCTTCCCCCGGGCTCCGCCGGGAACCGGGAGCGGCTCCTGCCCAGCCCCGTGGCCCCTCCGCCCCGCGGGGAGCTCCGGCAGCTCCGGAGGGCCGGGCCGGCGTCACCGGGAGCCCGGGAGAAGCGCTTGGCTCCGGGTGGAAGCTCTGGAGTTGGGAATGAGCGAAGGGGAAAAGAATTCCGGGATGTGAGGCGGGGATCGCGCCTGGGGCGGCCGCGATGGGGCCGCGGGGAGCCCGAACCAGCCGGGAATGGGCTGGGAAAGGCGCTGGAGCAAAGCTGGCCCGGCCCCAAAGCGCTCCAGAGGCGCTGGGATTTGGGAATTCAGCTCGGGCACTTTGGTTATCCCAGCACAGGGATCCACAGGGAGGATGAGGAGGAGGAGGAGGAGGAATTCCATGCAGATTCCAGCCATCCCAAATATCCATCCCTTCTTCCCTGGTGTCCCCACGCATCCCTGAGCATCCCTGAGCCTGGAATGGGATCCTGAGCCTGGGATGGGATCCTGAGCCTGGAATGGGATCCCTGAGCCTGGGATGGGATCCCTGAGCCTGGGATGGGATCCCTGAGCCTGGAATGGGATCCTGAGCCTGGAATGGGATCCCTGAGCCTGGAACAAGATTCCTGAGCCTGGGATGGGATCCCTGAACCTGGGATGGGATCCTGAGCCTGGGATGGGATCCTGAGCCTGGAGAAGTATCCCTGAGCCTGGGATGGGATCCCTGAGCCTGGGATGGGATCCCTGAGCCTGGTATAGGATCCCTGAGCCTGGGATGGGATCCCTGAGCCTGGAATGGGATCCTGAGCCTGGAATGGGATCCCTGAGCCTGGGGTGGGATCCTGAGCCTGGAGTGGGATCCCTGAGCCTGGAATGGGATCCCTGAGCCTGGGATGGGATCCCTGAGCCTGGAGAGGGATCCCTGAGCCTGGGATGGGATCCCTGAGCCTGGGATGGGATCCTGAGCCTGGGATGGGATCCCTGAGCCTGGGATGGGATCCTGAGCCTGGGATGGGATCCTGAGCCTGGGATGGGATCCCTGAGCCTGGAATGGGATCCTGAGCCTGGAATGGGATCGCTGAGCCTGGGATGGGATCCTGAGCCTGGGATGGGATCCTGAGCCTGGAGAGGGATCCCTGAGCCTGGAATGGGATCCTGAGCCTGGGATGTGATCCTGAGCCTGGGATGGGATCCTGAGCCTGGAATGGGATCCCTGAGCCTGGAATGGGATCCCTGAGCCTGGAGAGGGATCCCTGAGCCTGGGATGGGATCCCTGAGCCTGGAATGGGATCCTGAGCCTGGGATGGGATCCCTGAGCCTGGAGAGGGATCCCTGAGC